CATTTAATTTTATTATTTATTATGTTAAATAACTTACAAATTTCTAAATAATAATAAGATTCAATGGATTAATTAGCATAATTTTGGAAAGAAATCATCAGTAGTTGGCATATTAGGAAAGACGACTAGAAATGTTGGCATATTTATCCAGAAAATCACCTTGAAATTTTGCATATGTATAATGCCACCTACCCTAACAACTATAAAATCCTACAAAACTCATAAGCAAATCATCGAAAAAATCCAAACTTTTCCTCAAAATTTCAGGAAAAATGAAAATAAGGAGAGGAGACGAAATCGACGTGGGCAACGGAGAGCAGGGTTACCTGGGCTCCTATTACGAAGCAATAGTGTCCAAGGAGATCAACAAAACTATGTACATTGTGGAGTACAAGAATCTGATAAAGGATGACGAGTCAGGACCGTTAAAAGAGATGCTCACCATCAACGAGATCAGGCCGAAGCTGCTAGTGGTTCCTTTCCCGATTAAAGATTTATCTCCGGGCGACAAAATTGACGCCTTTGACAATGATGGCTGGTGGAGTGGAACTATCACCAAAAAGATAGGGTCTGAGTATGTTATGCATTTTCCTACCACTGGAGAGACGATCCCTTCCTCTAGTATTGAGAAGTTGAGATTTCATCTCGACTGGGTTGAAGAAAAGTGGGTCTCTTCCAAGTTTGGGTAACTTTAATCTTCTCTTCGTTTCTTTTCGATAGTCTTTTAGCTGTCACTTTGCGATTATTATTCTTTGAGTTTCATTTGCTGTTGCTTGCCTTTCTACTATCATTTTCTTGCAGGAGCCTAGCTTTGCAGATGAAAACTGGTAAACCTAGGATCAGGTTGTATGTGGCAGCATTGGTAGGCTATGGTAAGAGGTTTGGGTAAGCTAAGGCCTCTTTGGACTACGTTTGCATATGTAAACGAGTATTCAAAGTTAGGAGATGCCTAGTTCACTACGAACTCGAGACGAATATCACTGTAACAAGTTGATTTTGCATCTCGTGAATAATTTCGTGACGGAGATCTAGGCAAAAATTAGGCAAGTGTGTAAGTGCTAACAAATATAGTTTAGTATGTCTAAGAAATTAAAATTATGGCATCTAATAAATAAAAAGTTTATTATTAAATTATAAATTAGTGTAGGATTCTAACAGAATTTTATTATTGATTTTTGTGTTTTTATTTTTATTTTTATTATTGAATTTACTAATGATTCACTATACTCTATTTGGTAAATGAATTCTTATATGTGCTGCTTATCATTATATGAATAGTTCAGATATTAAGGATACATAAAGGGCACTATTTTGATAAGTATGTATAGTATGTGTGATGTGGGTATAAGAATAATTAAAGAACAAATTTAAAAATTTGATAAGTATGTATAGTATGTGTGATGTGGGTATAAGAATAATTAAAGAACAAATTTAAAAATTTGATAAGTATGTATAGTATGTGTGATGTGGGTATAAGAATAATTTAAGAACAAATTTAAAAAATTTATCACAGAGTGAAAATAAAGAAATAATATTAAAAGATTTTGAAAACTCATTTAATCATTTTCAATGAGGGGTGGGTGTGTGTATGTGGCCAATTTAGCATGTGACTGTGGTGAACCCTACCCATAGATACAGTTTTAGCTAGTCATAGCTAAGTAATAAGTAATATATGACTGTGAACTATGAAATGAACTGTGATGTATCCAAAAGGTAGATCGGGATCCTTATTGCTCTTGTTGATATCGGCGAAAATAGTATCATGCGATGAAACTATTTTTAATAGGATGTAAACCAATAAAAATGAATATAAACTTATGTCTAACATTTACGATACTAAAATACTAAATTGATGTTTACTGAATTATTTATTGCTTAATTTGTGATAATAAAATACTGAATTTTAATGTTTACTTAACTATTTATGCCCTGAGTTATAATACTGAAATAATGAATTCTGAATGTTTATTAAATAAACCGATTTAGAATGTTTAGTGAATGAATTAGGATTTAGATACCATGTGTTTTCAGAATTAAAAAGAAAAGTGTTTTTAAACTTTCTTTGTCAGTTGTTTTATATTTTCTACCAACTTGTATGGATTATCCTATTATTTGTTGGTACTTACATGGTTACTGAGCATATTAAACTCACCCTATTCATTATTAATTTTTTTTCCATATCAGAATAATCAGAATCCCACTCCTGAACAGTGAGAAATTTGATAGGAGATCGCTTTATTTTTATTTTAATTCAAACATTATTTAAGGTTAATTATTTCTTTTATAGTAAGTATTTATTTAGAGTTTAGACATGCCTCATGGATATTAGATATTTTGAACTAAATATGTAAGAGAAGTGTTTTTATTATTTTAAGATTTATAACTCGAGATATTTCTATAAATTATTTTATCATTATATGATGTGTATATGATCAAGACTCAAGATGAGAGTTTGGCTACCTCAAGTACATAATACACCTATAAAATGGCAAATTATATATTTTTGGATTTTTTAAGGCAAAAATTTTAGATTTTTTAAAAACATTTTGTGCTTTGAGTGTATGCATGAAAGAATTTCCATTTGTTTTCTTTTTTCTTTTCATTTTGTTCGCAAGTTTTTTGCTTGATATGTTGGCCAAATAAGACTTAAATAATTTTTTTTCTTCTGTTAAAATTAAAATATTGCAAGAAAATTGTAACATACTTCAATTTATCTTATATTTTAATGTGTATGTTCTATTTCAACATGCTTCAATTTCATAAATTCTTCTACTTAATAAATAATGTTTATAATATAGTACAATTGAATAGTACAATTTTTTTTAATCACAAATGAAAATAATTATGATTAAAAAATTTTAAAACAAGAATTAGTAAGTCTAACTATATATGTATCTATATAAAAAATAAATGGCAAAAATTTAATGTTAAAACAAATATATCTTTCTTAGGTAAAAGATCTCTATAAAAGAAAATATCATGAAGTCACACTAATAAGGAAATGGAGTTAAAAGAAGAAGAAAAATGAAGGAAATGAATGTGGACAGAAAAAATAGTGATACTTTTCTTTTTTTAATGGAATATTAAAAAAGAAAAAATTAAAAGAAGTAAATTGTCGGGTGAAAAAAAGAAAAATATTTATTTTTATAGTAAATTATAATTCGAAAATTTAAGATGTTTTATAAGGAAAAAAGACAAAATTATCAATTAATATTAAATTTATTAATAGATTACCAAGTCTTTTTACATTTGAATTTATTATTTATTAATATTAAAATTAGAATTAGATATATAACTTAATGCATTAGTAAGTATAACTTTGGAAACAAAACATTGAAACTAGTCATATTAGGAAAGAAAAAAAAAGGAAATTTGGCATATCTATCCAGACTATCACCTTGGAATTTTGCATGTGTGTAATGCGACCTTCCCTAACAGCTATATCCCACTGTATGCTACACTTCCCATATCCATCTTCAAAACAACTACAAAAT